TTTTGCAATTAAATTAAAAGCATTAGTTCCATTTCATCTTCAAACGAATTTTTTTTTTTTTTTTGTTCTTTCTTTTTATTTATATATATATATATATATATATGTGTGTGTGTGTGTGTGTGTGTGTGTGTGTATTTTTATATACCGTATCTGTGGACAGTAATAAGTGTCCCAACCCTCATAAATACGTTGGACACTATTGTAAATTGTAACATTCAGTAACACTTTCTAGATTTTATATATATATATATATATATATATATATATATATAAAAAATGCCATCATAATATATTATTATATCATCATTATATATATATATATATATATATATATATATATATATATATATACAATGTTATATACCGTACCTATGAACACTAATGGGTATATTCCAATCCTCATAAGACACTATTGTAAGTGGGGATAATATGCTGTATAAGTAGTCCAGCGCTAGCAGTGGTTTACCTACTTCACGCCGTTAGTTGGAGTTTATAAGCAGTAAATTCGACCTTGTCTACCGAACGGTTCTTTGTAGCCTAGAGGTAAGGCACGTCAGCGTATATGACGGTTCCGTATAGGATGCAGGTTCGAATCCTGTCAAAGAACGAATATTTTCTATGAAAATTTCTCGGACATTCAGGCCGGTAAATGTTATTTAATTCTGTTTATCATAAACAGAGCATTTGCTTAAATACTTGTATCTATAAAAATAACAACGTTAAACATAAAAATGTCTTTAATAAACAAATTGTCGGACCTTGTCCATTTCTTAATATATATATATATATATATATATATATATATACTACTTATGAACACCAATGGGTATGGACATTATTCTAAGTGTGGATTAATGTGCTCTCTAAGTAGGCGACCACTAGCAGTGGTTTACCTATTTCACGCCGCTGGCGAGTATTGGATTTTGTTGATGTTATAAAGACTACCATTTTCATTTCCAACCTCCGTGTTTGGTTATTCCTCATTCAGTAATAACCTTTTCTAGGTGACAACACTTTCTTTAACTAGAAGGAAGAGGTGACAGCAATTTGTGGAAAATTTCTTCTCTGCATGGGGCTCTTGCCAGGGAATTTGGTTTCGCCGGTGGTTCTTTTTTGGCACTGAGGGACACATTTTTCCTCGCCAAAAATGTTCCCAACGAGACGGACAGTAGTTACTCCCCAACCACTAAACTATTAAATCAATGATGAATTAGACACAGGTTATCGGCATCATTGTTGTTTTTAGCTGTACATTCCGACCGATACGCTCTTCAACGAGCCTGCATTGAATAAAGTTCTGATATTAATTATTTTCATTAAACAGTAAGTTATTCAGGCTTTTATCTTCATCATTGTTGTTTGTGGTAGTACATACCAGCCGATACGCTCTTCTACCAGCCTGCATTGAATAAAGTTCTGAAATTAATTATTTTCATTAAACAGTTATTCGGGCTTTTATCTTCATCATTGTTGTTTGTGGCAGTACATACCAGCCGATACTCTCTTCTACCAGCCTGCATTGAATAAAGTTCTGAAATTAATTATTTTCATTAAACAGTTAGTTATTAGGGCTTTTATCTTCATCATTGTTGTTTTTAGTAGTACATTCCGGCCGATACGCTCTTTTGTCAGCCTGCATTGAATAAAGTTCTGAAATTAATTATTTTCATTAAACAGTAAGTTATTCAGGCTTTTATCTTCATCATTGTTGTTTGTGGTAGTACATACCAGACGATATGCTCTTCTACCAGCCTGCATTGGATAAAGTTCTGAAATTATTTTCATTAAACAGTAACTTATTCGGGTTGTTATCTACATCATTGTTGTTTGTAGCAGTACATACCAGCCGATACTCTCTTCTACCATCCTGCATTGTATAAAGTTCTGAATTTTTTTTTTTTTTTAACGAGGAAGTGGAAGTGACAGTAATTTGTGGAAATTTCTTCTTTGCATGGGGTTCCTGCCAGGGATATTTCTTTTCATCGGCGTATCTTCTTGGCACTGAGGGAGACATTTTTTTTCCCTCGCCAAAAAGCTGTCAACCGGGCGTACATTATTTACACCACCTCCCCCTCCGTGCCAGTGATGAATTAGATTCTGGTCCTTTTCCAACACTGCTTTCCAAACACATTGACTCATCTTTGCCGACATAATTTCAGTTAACTGGATTTCTTCGTCTTGAAAATTCAATATCATCTCTTTTAGAAGCGACATCGACTGACAAATTTAGTTTCATCCCAGTTTTAATTATATAACTTGCTGTTATCTTCATCGTTGTTGTTTTTATCAGTACATTACGGCCGATATGCTCTTCTACCAGCCTGCATGATGTAAAGTTCCGAAATGAATTATTTTCTTTAATCAGTAGATTATTCGGACTGTGATCTACATCATTGTTGTTTTTATCAGTACATTCCGGCCGATATGCTCTTCTACCAGCCTGCATGATGTAAAGTTCCGAAATGAATTATTTTCTTTAATCAGTAAATCATTCGATCTGTTATCTACATCATTGTTGTTTTTATCAGTACATTCCGGCCGATATGCTCTTCTACCAGCCTGAATGATGTAAAGTTCCGAAATGAATTATTTTCTTTAATCAGTAAATTATTCGATCTGTTATCTACATCATTGTTGTTTTTATCAGTACATTCCGGCCGATATGCTCTTCTACCAGCCTGCATGATGTAAAGTTCCGAAATGAATTATTTTCTTTAATCAGTAAATTATTCGATCTGTTATCTACATCATTGTTGTTTTTATCAGTACATTACGGTCGATATGCTTTTCTACCAGCCTGTATGATGTAAAGTTCCGAAATGAATTATTTTCTTTAATCAGTAAATTATTCGATCTGTTATCTACATCATTGTTGTTTTTATCAGTACGTTACGGCCGATATGCTCTTCTACCAGCCTGCATGGTGTAAAGTTCCGAAATGAATTATTTTCTTTAATAGGTAAATTATTCGATTTGTTATCTACATCATTGTTGTTTTTATCAGTACATTCCGGCCGATATGCTCTTCTACCAGCCTGCATGATGTAAAGTTCCGAAATGAATTATTTTCTTTAATCAGTAAATTATTCGATCTGTTATCTACATCATTGTTGTTTTTATCAGTACGTTACGGCCGATATGCTCTTCTACCAGCCTGCATGGTGTAAAGTTCCGAAATGAATTATTTTCTTTAATAGGTAAATTATTCGATTTGTTATCTACATCATTGTTGTTTTTATCAGTACATTCCGGCCGATATGCTCTTCTACCAGCCTGCATGATGTAAAGTTCCGAAATGAATTATTTTCTTTAATCAGTAAATTATTCGATCTGTTATCTACATCATTGTTGTTTTTATCAGTACGTTACGGCCGATATGCTCTTCTACCAGCCTGCATGAGGTAAAGTTCCGAAATGAATTATTTTCTTTAATCAGTAAATTATTCGATCTGTTATCTACATCATTGTTGTTTTTATCAGTACATTCTGGCCGATATGCTCTTCTACCAGCCTGCATGGTGTAAAGTTCCGAAATGAATTATTTTCTTTAATAGGTAAATTATTCGATTTGTTATCTACATCATTGTTGTTTTTATCAGTACATTACGGTCGATATGCTCTTCTACCAGCCTGCATGATGTAAAGTTCCGAAATGAATTATTTTCTTTAATCAGTAGATTATTCGGACTGTTATCTACATCATTGTTGTTTTTATCAGTACATTCCGGCCGATATGCTCTTCTACCGTTCTGCATGGTATAATGTTCTGACATGAATTTTTCATTAATCAGTAGATTTATCGAACTGTTATCTACATCATTGTTGTTTTTAGCAGTAAATTCCGGCTGATATACTCTTCTACCATCCTACATTGAATGCCGTTCTAAAATGCATCGTTTTCATTTAACAGGACATTATTCGAACCATTTTCTGTATGTTCTTTATTTAATATTTATATTTAATATCCTTGAAAATGGGTAAATGTATAGCCGAAAGCGCTTGGATAAAAAGAACATTCGGACAGTTTTTATATAATTTATCATCTGAAAAGAAAGAAAAAATCATTAGATCGCATGAGAAATTGTATAAAAAGCTAAATAAACGCACCTTGTCTGTCGTATTCAATGAAATGTGCATATATATATATATATATATATATATATATATATATATATATATATATATATATATATATATAAATATATATATATATATATAATTACTTGGATCCTATATATGTATATTTATGTATATATGTAGAATTAAAAGCTTTTTCCACTTGCTGATTGATGTCATCTTTAGTTTTGTAGAAGTTGTCTCCGGGAATCACTCCGTCCACTCGTCAGGAGTATCAATAATTGACTGCTTACAATATAATTTTATGTGCACTTATCATTGGTGGAATGTTTTTCATAGTGTGTGTGTGTGTGTGTGTGTGTGTGTGTGTGAGTGTGTGTGTGTGTGTGTTCTGGCACCTGCTTCTATGCCCATGTTTGCACGGATGTGCGTACGTGTAGGGTGTCGTGATTATTTGTAGTTTTTGCCGTTTTTAGACAAGTCATATATATATATATATATATATATATATATATATATATATATATATATCAGAATTATTTACTAATTTATTTATTTTCTCTTTCAGAAAAATTTCGGAGCTTCTTTGGGGAAAAATAAAGTTGCAACTCGCCCACAAACATTGACGACGAGAGAGAAAGAAAGAAAGAAAGAACGAAAGACAAACAAATCTTCCACGCGCTTTTTGTTGTTTACATTGGAAAAATTTTTAAAAAATTAAAACTAATTTTTAAAAAAAATAAATTAATTAAATATTCCTTTGCTGAAGAAAAAAGAAAGTAGAAAGATTTAAAACAAAAAATAAAAAAGAAAATTGTCTTCACCTCCCCACACACTCGCAGACATCGAACAGAACTCAACGACTTAATAATGGATCTGCTCCCACCCCTGCGTGGGTAAACCACACCCATACACACCCCAAAATGTGTCAAAGAGCAGCCAGTACCCTCCGTTATATCTTTGCATATTTATTATGCTCAGTGTGTTTCTCGTCCAGTGAGACACGGGGCGACACATCCACCCAGAGCGGAGACCCCAGCACTGCCCGGAAAGCTTATCACAAAGCCATCAAAACGGAAACGAAAAATAATTTAACTATAGCCGTGTCTGGCAAAAGTTTAAAAAGAATCAAGTTACGAGCACTTGCTCTCCCGGGTAACCTTCCTTTGTCCGACATACCCGGGGTATCGACGTCTGTACCTCCGTTGCCACCGTCTTCCACTATGCTTAACCGGACTCTTTCCGAAGTCCTTACCCGGGTTTCCTCCAATGGCAGCGGGGTAACACGGGAGACGGCGGCCGTGGATTACACAGCCGTCTCCGTCGTCCCGTCAGAAGACTATGTCCACAGGGACCTTCCCTTACCGCTTCTGATAGCAAGCCCCGTTGCTGCAGTCAGCATCATCATCTTTGTGTGCGTGGCCTATTACTGCCATTCCTCTCAGTTGGACGCTAGGGCCCGGCAGCTGGCCCTCAAATATGCTGTCATATCCACAGAACCCCCGGCTTGTAGCCGCGGGATACCATCAACGTCGAGTGTTGACATGGATCTAATTCGAAAGACTTCTCTACGGCCCAGCACCAGTAGGACTTCCACCCCTAACCCTACCCCTAACGGGTCGAAGAGAGGCTCTATGAACTGGGTTGCTATTGGCGACCAAGAGGTTATCACCTACACAGCTGCCCGCAGGCATTCTACATTTATTCTTTGATTTCAGGAGAAAGTTGCTGACATCGGGTCATTTTTTTTGTTGTTGTTTTTACGGAGGCGAAATCTAAGATAGTCTAAATAGGAAGATACAAACAGGTATAAAGTCACTAACAAGACAGAAACAGGTGTAAAAAAAAATCATACTTAAATCTCATTTTTTTTTTTTTTTTTTACAGACATGCTGGACTCTACCCTGTCAAAAGATATGACATTACTAGTTTTTAATGACAACTAAAAAGAAAAAACTAATTCTTCTTTATTCAAGAAAAAACTCAGGCTCCAACAAAAGAAACTGTTTATATATATATATATATATATATATATATATATATATATATTAGGTTGGAGCAAAAATAATGACGTAATAATGTCGTTTTTTGACGTATTTTTTAACGTCAAAAACGACATTCTTGCGTCATTATTTTGCACTAACCTAATATATATATAAACAGTGTTGACATAGAAATCAACGCTTTATAGATACCGGCAGTTCCCAGCCTTAAGCGACCGTTTGATCATCATTTAAGGCGTAAAACTACCGACCATTATTCAATATTGATCCCTATGTCCACAATGCTTACATCTACATATACTCTGTCCCTAATACTAAGTACTCTTCCCTCAAGAAAATAGCAAAATTTATCCTATATATATATATATATATATATATATATATAGGTGTTTCATAATGATGGGACATATTTTAAATGCAAGTATATTGGATTATAGAAATGGCACAGAGTACCAAATATATTTCTTGCTTAACTGATATACAAGAGTTCAGCATATTATCTAAGATTTGAATAGTATATCCTTGAGTTGGTCGCTCATCACCTAAGTCTCTTATTTAAAAACAGAGTTGGCATTGCCCGTCTATACGGAAGTTTGTAACAGCAAGCAGTATCTCCTTTCGGGATGTTGCCTGTCGCTTTCTTAAATATCTTCGGAATTTCCTTTGGGCTGCTACGATGGATCTTTCGCTGGAGAAATACGCTTCCAATACGTGTGCAATTTCTATTGAAGTCCACGGAAATATAACGGCCTGCCGTCAGCAAAATAGATATCTGATACCTGATGGAAATGGCAAAATCTTAGATATGTTGAACTCTTGCATATCCCTTATGCCATACATATATTTAGTAGTCTACGCCATTTTTTTTTTATATAACCCAAGACATTTGCATTTAAAATGTGACCGCATCATTGTCGGACGCTCTGTATAGACATATTTGAATCTTTAGCTAAAATTATAACACTTTTCATTCACAACAAATTCGCCCTTTGATCAATAAATGAAATAAACACACATACATAAAACACATACGCACATTCAATTTTATTATATATATATATATATATATATATATATATATATATATATATATATATATATATATATATATAGGGATAACATATCTTAGCTGAGGAACTTGATCATGACACTCCTTGATAAAGTCCCTCAGAGGATGAAAAAGCGTCATAAGATAAGTTTTCCTTTTGTCTTTTTTTACAGATAGACTCTATCTGAATTTTTTTACACATACACAATTATATATACATACATACACACACACACACACACACACACACACACACATATATATATATATATATATATATATATATATATATATATATATATTTATATATAGATATAGATATAGATATATACGCGGGTGCTGAAAATGTATTGGTGTAAACCAGTTCTCAAAATCTGGAAAAGTAACCAAACATCAGATTTGCAGAAGAACTTTTCAGCACCTCCCCTCTTATATATAAATTTCTGATTTTTAAGCAAAAACATTGAAGGTCTTTTTAAATTTTGCATGCAGTGATAAATTAAAATGGAAAATATAAAATTCCGTTTCGCAATTTCAAATCATTTTCACTTAAATGGCTCCACTTTGTCATAGTTGACTGGCCCCAAATATTTTTTTATTAGTGATGTTGTTGAACATAGAAAATACAAGATTTGTCGACCCGACCAAGATAGGATTCCAAATGAATCTGCTGTTTGATCAAAATTTAAGCAGCTGGTCGGGTTGAGAACTTTTCACTTTTCACCGTTTTACTTTAGTATATATAGTTGTACAAGTTTTGAATTTATAGCAACTTGAACGCCATTTTTTTTATGTTATTGTATTGTTTAAGAATTTAGATTTAACGTATTAATGACATTAGATTATCGGATTACAGATTTGTCAATTAATTCTTGACAAATTATTTTGCTTAATTTACAAAACAAAAAAAAAAAAATTTTTCTATTCCAAAATTACAGACCCCCAGCGATTCTTAGGGGGTTTTGCACGCGTTTTTTCTCTTAAATTTTTCTTACAATTTTTCAAATACATTTTCTCTTTATAATACAACGATTTTTCAGGATTTGCATCTTTATCTTGATTGTTTTGATCACAGTTATTGTAAAAGCGATTTACAAAAAGAGATTTTTTTATCAGTATTCATTTTTATATGGATCGTGGGTTCAAGCAACATAAAAAAAAAATTAACTTGTTTTCCTTCCGCGAAAATCTAGTCTATTCAAACCGTACCATACTTTGCAAGATTATACGAGGCTGTCACGCATGGAATGCCGCGCTTTATAAGAAAATGAATAAAACGCTTCTGAAATGCCAAATAACAAATATATTTAATTGAAATAGGCACCATTTCGATAAATGACTGTTCTCTAACGTATCTCTAAATTCTTGATCACATCTTTAAAAAAAAATTCTCATCCTTTGATGAGATAAAAAAAAAACAAAAACAAAAAAATAATGCTTCGATGACTTCTTCCTTATTGGAGACAGTTTTATTGCGTATGAAAAGCTCAAAATGCTTAAATAAGTGATGATCAGTAGGAGAGATATCAGGTGAATATGGAGGATGAAGCAAAATTTTATAATTCACGCTATGCAGGTTTTAGACAGTTTGATTGAGAAGCTTGCAGCCGAGTGTTGTCGTGCAGGAAAATTGGGCCATCCCTATTCACACGTCTAGGATGTTTCTTTTTTCCAATTTTTCGTGCTTATACTCAATTTCTCCACAAGACGAGGTTGCTTTTATTGTTTTCTCTTGAGGCAAGAATGAATTTTGAATAGCCCCTTTGAAAGACCACCATACAGTAACCATTAATTTTTAGGGCGCTATCGAGGTTTATGGTATTGTTTTGGTAATTCATTTGCATCTAACCACTGGTCTACTCTCTTGCTCTTGTCAAAGAGTATCTATTTCTTATCGTATGTAATGATGCGATGCAAAAATGGTTCTTTTTTCTTAGTTTGTACTCATAGAGTAAGATTACTCGACATTGGTTTATTGTAATCGATTTCATTGGGCTTATGACGAACATTATATGAAAAGAAAAATTATCAGGAATACGTCAAGATTTTTTATATATTAAGGAGGTTACTTTGTTAGACGACCGGAAAAAAAAAGTTTCATTTTTCTAAGGTCGTTACTAAGGTCGTTACTTCATTAGACAACCAAAAAGTGCGTCATTTCTGGTGTGATAAACTAATATTTACAAAAACAAAACAAAATGGCGGGGAAATTGCATTCCACAACGTTTCGGCCACTAGATCCTTTGTTACGTGTCTATGTTTTTCTAAAATTTTATAGGTGACCTCATTAATAATAATAATAATAATAATAAATAATTTCAGTATTTAATTTTGTTCAACAGATTTTACTGAATTTTGGTTAAATTTGATCACCACTAACTCTTTTATTAATTTTCATCCAATACAGAGCCTAAGAGCCAATCAAGGTAGAGCATTACTGGACGAGGCTTATGAAATGAATAAGAAACGATACTACGACTGCATCAGACCCCAGCCGTTTCGGCTTACAAGTATTAGATATGAAGACATATGTCAGGGATTTTCGGGCGCAGGACAACTCAATACCGCCGACTCAACGCGAAAACAACTGAGTTGTCCCGACTGAGCACCGGGACATCTCAGGACTGAGACAACTCAGGACCAGAATTTATTAAGGATTAAAATTTTAATTAATGAATATTTCTCCTCGTTCATGAAATAACAATTTCAATTTATTTTATTAAAAAATAAATTACATTACGATTTACTTTGTTAAAAATAATTAAAAACAAAAAAATTCATTTTGTTTTGCATTTTTCGATTTATTTTATTAAAAAAATAATAACAAGTGTGTTTTATTGAATTATTTTTTTTTATATCTCAATTTACTTTATCAAAAAATAAATTTCTTTACTATCTACTTTATTAAAAATAAAAATCTGGTTCATATTTTACATAATGCCTTTTCAAATGCTTTATTTGAAGAAAAATATTCACTAATTAAGGAATTAATTCTTAATAAATTACTTTTATTCGGTTATAAAAAAAAAAAGTTATCTTTTCTGGTGCTGTGTTGTCTGGGTCCTGAGTTGTCTCGGCGGTGTTGAGTCGGCGGGTTTGGCGGTATTGAGTTGTCCCTTCCCGGGAATTTTCTACGCTGATCGATATTTTATTAACCGCAAATATATATATATATTTTTTTCAGTCTGTATTTATGAGATGAGATACTGTAACTATTTGCATTGTTCGGACGGTTGTCCCCATCTTTTCTGCCACCTTCACGACGTTTCAGCCGTTTTACACTCCGGCCTTCTTCAGGACATATTTTGTTGGAATATCGAACCGTTTGTTTAGCCCTCTGGGGTAGATTGCTCTAATTCCACGTGCCACGCCTATCTCATTTTTAAGTTAATTCTCCTTGATAATTTTCCAAGTTTTTTTTTTTTTTTTTTTTTCCTGATGAAGCCAGGACTGAACTCGCAAATCTTTGAGTCAAGTCACTTTTTGGCTCAATCAACCAACGATTTTATCCTTCGGGACCCAAGGGAGTTGTAAGTTCAATCCCGGGCTTTAGCAGAGAGAACAAAAAAAAGTTATCAAGACGAACCAACTAAAGCTCACCGAAAGAAGGACGGAGCGTACAACGGCCGAAATGTGACTTTAAAGATGAGGACAACAGCCT